CCTTGTAAACATTGAATTTGATATATGTAGGCCTACTATACCTTATATCCAAAGGTAAGTTTTATATTAGTTTATTCTCCACGAATCTCGTTTGTCGGTCATTTTGTGGGGTAAAATGAGGTCAAATCATATTTTAAGTTGCAGATTATTTTCATTATTATTTATTATTATTATTTATTATTATTTTTGTTATTATTTTTATTTAAATACCCTAATTTTAGGTACTTCCCCAAGTCAGATTTTGGTAGACTTTTTTTGTGTTGTGTGGAGGTATAAAAGTAATGAAATCCGTTTAAAACCCTTTTGAATCAATTTTGTTGAACCTCCACTAATATTTATTTTTAATTCCCGGACTATTTATAGTACAGGTAAAATAATACAAAAACACTCCATATAAACAACAAAATTTGTACATTCATGAAATTTCACCCGTGAGTTACTAATAATATGAGAAATGAAGATCCGATGAGTCCCCAAAATTTTGGGCGTCCTAAGGCCCTTTTTGGGGCCCTTTTTGATCCGAAGGGCCCTTGTTCCTGAATAATTTTGTTTTTACGTTTAAGGTCGAGTGAGGTGTGGTTTCGATGGTTTTAGTTATTTTAAATCGATTGGGACTAGTTTTAAGTGTATTAAACCACTCCATACAGGGTGTTTCGAAATATTATTACTTTTTACGATATTTAAACATTTATTCATAAAGTAATAAAATTAGTTACCTCCATGCTCTATATAAAAGGGGATTATTGAAAATAATTGTAATTCTTTACTACGTAAGGGGAAAGGATCACAAGGAGTAAGAGAAAATATTAACTACCCCCATCACAGCAAACCTGCAGACTAAGCGAATTTTCACCTGCCCGATTTTCAATTAACTAAAATAGCATTGAGTTTAATAAATACTTAGGTTTGCTGCTACATGGAGACTAATAAAGTGTGTTTATAGTAAAATATTAATAGCCTAGTATAAAACAAATAAATTTGACAAGTTTTATTAAGACATATCTATTAACAAACAAACGAAATCATTTTACACTATTCTACATAAGAATAACATGGGAATTTTAAATTTACAATTTTTGAATTTTATTCGTAACTAATACACTTACAAAACACGTTAATATACTAAATTATTTGTTTTCTTTAAGCTCTTTAAATGCTTTAAAATAAATTGGGAAACTTTGTGTTTTGAGGGTGGTGTGCAAGCGTGATAAGTTTACCTTAGCGCTGGCTGCTGCCTTTACAAACAGGCGGAACCAAAGGTTTTTCTAATTCATCGTGAAATGTGTTGCCACCATACAAAGCAATTAGGCACTTTTCTCCAGCTTCCTAGAAGAAATTTTTAGGGTGAGAATAGGGAAACCTATTTTAATCCAATAAAACCCTATTCCCTTTAGTACGATCATACTGGTTCACAAACTCGTTCGGGCGTAAGAATAACATTTGCTTCTAATTCAATCAAAATTGGATGAGTTTTGCTCTAGTCAACGTGCTGATGGACATACACACACATTTAGATAAACTTGAACGAAGGCGTTTTTGACCTCTGGGAATTTTAAGTCGAAAAAGTAAATCAGTTCCGGCTGTGTATAAATAATGATATTTTTTCAACATCTAGATAAACGATATAAATAACTGATAAAAACACAGCTTATCTTTTCAAAGTCATTTTTCCATAAAATCCCGCCAGTGACGTCCTTGTCCTTTTAACCAGTGAACAAGGTTGACCCAACAACAAGAGGTCGTCTTTCAGGCTCTCTGAAAAAATGCTATTGTAGTTCAAATGCATCATATAAATATTTGAAACAGCTAAAAATGATATATCGTAGTAGTTTACGCAACGATTGTGTTCAAATCAAATCAAATCGTCTTTATTTCATATTGTATATGGAATGGCGTCAAAAACTATATCTATAACTTAACATAAAGAAAACAAGTCTAATAGAAATAAAACACTAATTTAACATACATTCTTCTGTTTTACTTACTGATAGGAAGTAGTTATAACCATGGGTGGTACGGTAAGGCTTAGTGCCGAGACCGATATATCTGATAATTTTCTGCGGTGGGAATATTTACCGGTACTATAAGTTTTCTTGTACAAATAAATATTATATTTTTTAAAAATTTGCTAAAGCATAGTTATTTTTTATCTAACTCTTAATAACTTACACATGTTGTAAAAACAGGTTAAACTCGTTAAATGAAAAAAACCTTGATATTCATAAATTATTATTTGTATAGTTTTCAGAAAAGTGTTGAAGGTAAAGACTTGGTTTTGTGATAAAACGAAAGCCGATAAAATTTACTACAAAAGCAGTTTTTAAGAATTCTGCCATAATATGGGTATTACACCATTTTGGTGGGTCGAACCCAGGAAAATGTAATTTATGGTAATTACTTAAACAAATTTGTAATATTAGAAAAATCATTGCTCAAAAACTATTTGACACACAAAAATGAAACTGTGCTTAAATTGTTGGAAATTTTATGTACTTTAATTATTAAACTTGAGTAGTATTAAGAAAAATGCACTGTTAATAAGTTATACACCAAAAACTAAAAATAATACATTAATTTTGTAATATTTTACTTATTACGCAGGGAGCACATGGATCTCGAAGCTGCAAACTTGGTTTTGAGTTACCCTAACTGGTCCCAACAACATATTAAAAATGCAGCAATACATCACGCTTTGCGATTTTAGCGTCTTTTTATGTACGATTTGACTGGCCTACTGTACTATTAGTTGAAACAACATTCGTTTGAAAAAAAAAATGCTTGTCATCTGTAGAAGGAATTTGAAAAAGTAAACACGCTAGTAAGCTAGTGACGTTATTTGTTTACTACCCATACCATTATCCGTTCTAATATCTGTAATAATTACCCACCCTCATTGAATCTATGTGCTGTACATCCTAATTTCCCATAAGCCTACATCAGCGCAACCAAACGTAGCCACACATGAACACACGCCAAACAATTTAGATTTGACAAAAGGATAGGCCTACTTTCAGTATCCTAGGTCAATGATAAAATCGTGATTAATCTCTGTCATCCATTTGTCTATCTCTGAATAAATCTCGTAAAATAATTTATATAGGCATTCTTTTATTTGTTGACTCGTGGGCAGAGCCTCGATTTGTAGACGGCAAAGGGCTTCCTTATCTCTACTGTCTACTTAATCCCTATTAATCTTATACTTATTTCCTGTAATCAATGACCAAATTAAATAACCCCCTAGTTCCATAGAATATTTTTATATCTATCCAGCTGTTAGTTCAAACAAATTATATTTCCCAAAAACAAACCCAAGAGTTTAAAGACTGCTATAAAAAATAAATTAGTTTATCAAGTATTTACAATGAATATTAAAATAATCTGTCATCCCCTTAAGAAATAAATGTATGTAATTATTAAAGCATTACACGTAGTATAAATAAGTCAATCCTGCGTATGTCATTTCATTTCTATCCAAATGCTGAATTTGTGTCACAAACTCTGAATGTTTACAGCTGTTACGTTAAGCAAATGGTTTTATACAAAAAAGCCAATCTAGAATGTTTGTCGGCTGCTAGTCTTATACAAAATTTAAACTTAACTTCCAACAAACTGAAACCCTAAACTAAAATTATGGCTTCGACATTCCCTAGTCCTCAAAATTATCTTTCTTTCAACATAAAAATCATAAAAATCCGTCAAGTGGTTGATTTAGAATCGTGAAATTAAAAAACCTTGTTACGTTTTAATATTATAGATAGATAGATAGCTCTCATGTCAAGGAAGTACTAAGAGTAGTGTGATTATATCAGATTACCTCTAAACGATATAACCAATTTTTTTTTGTTCCCTTCACCCTGTAGCCTTCAGCAGTCATCCCAAACAAACACTACTGTAGATTTTGACTCTAAGTTTGGCACTAACATGAGCTAAGCTAAGTTTAGATCCAAGTTAGCAGCAACAGAGCGCTGTGTCAATTGACCTGTTACCAAGTATCAAGTAGTATTCAGCTTCTCAACAGTTAACATTGTTCTCAATGTTAAACTGATAAGAACGACAGTTTGGGTATTAGACTTGAATCAACTTCATAACTGTAACTAAAACATCTAACCCACATTTTTTCATTGTAACAAGAAATTGTATAAATTCAAGAATAGATCAGTACCCTTATGCCACTACTCAATCTAGCTTTAAAAATATCACAAGTAAATTGTTCAACAAGTTACCTGATATTGTTAAACATTTACCATAAAAGATTTCAAAGGAGCGATTAGATAAAATTTAGTGTATTAAAATACCGTTTCACAAAATTATTTAAAGATCATTTTGTCTCATCTTTAGACTTAGTATTAAATGTTGTCGTAGAATAAAACTATTGTATTTATTACTGTACAATTTCTGTCCTCTGAATAAAGACAAATTATTTGATTTGATTTGGAAAAAAATTCTACTATCAAAAGTTAGTTTGAAAACTGAACGCCCATTGTAAAGTAACTCATAGAAAATAAAAGTCATAGACAACAAAACTATATGTAAATTGGGTCCAAAGAAATATGGTCAGTAAGGGAGATGGTTGATATTTTTAGTTAGAGTGGATGGAGCTAGATTAATTATTGCCATAGCCACCTAGCCACAGCCAGACTATAAAAAAGGCCAGGGCATGGTAAAACCCTACTAAAAGGTTGATAAGATTGTCCTTGTTTTGTCTTTATACTTCACCACTTCTGTTGTACTATACCACCATCTGTTGTACTATACCACCTGAGCAATTCTGGTGAACTTTTGACCAAAAGTGTTTTGGTACCTGCATAACATTCTTAAATTGAAATATTTGAACATTCATTTTTTGGATGTTAAATTTCTTAGAAACATCCCTAAAGACGTGGTAAGCAAGCACACAACTGCCTGCCCAAATACATTCAGGTAAACACAATTTAGAGGAACACTTTTGTTAATGAACATATTGATTTTAATGTAAAGAAATCTAAAGATCCAATACAAATTGTATATAATATGCACAAAGAAATATAAATCATCTTTTATCTTAAATAACACATTCATTTCCATTTTAGTTTTGGAATGCTAACTCTTAATAAAAATATAATATATTGGCAGTGTAACAACAACTAATATTATATTATAACGTAAACAAATCACTAAACTTAATAGTTCAGTAGGCTTATATGTTTTTACACACTGTCACTAGAAATAATAGTTTTGTAATATGATTAATGTATATTGTACAGATTGAGGAAAGTGGTATACAACAAGTGTATTGTGATTTACCTAAATCTAATGATCTAAATGTGATTTCTATAACTCTTTCTTTACAGTAAAGACCACAAATACTAGAAAAGACCCAGTATGGATCATAAAAATAAACAAATGACGTTTTTGGTCCGAAAGTAAACAAAGTCATATGTTAATATATGCTATTAGTATAGGTGGTTTGTTTACTTTCGGGCCAAAAAAGTCATTTGTTTATGTTTATGATCCATACCGGTATTTTTTTATTATTTCTGGTAAAGACTTATCCTAATAGGTCAACTCCCTCCTTAATAAAATAGACAACTAACAAGATGAAAGAAAATTGTATGAAATAAATACATTAAATATACAGATTGGGCTAAGAGAAATGATAACATAAAATCAGTAGCATTTATACACATTGGTATGACTTTGTATACTATACTTATCAGGCACAGCAAGCAGTTAAACATGATTGATGTATCTTTAATAGTGTTGTGTACAGTGTATATACAGATTATGTTGTATACATAAATATCACAATAGCAATAATGTTTATACATACATAAATGTGATAGAGATTAGTAAGTTAAATTTAATTTGGTTAAACAATTCAGTATTGTTTACACAAAAAATGTGTATGTTTAAATTATTATTTAATAATAATTTATGATACTACAGTCTTACAGCATAAATAATGTTATTCAGATGATTTCCTTAGGATAATCCTGTACTTATGTTCCCTGTACTAAGCATCAGGTATGCTGAACCAATAATCCTAAACTATAATTGCATTAACTCTACTTACAACAATTAAGTTAATACAATAAAGGCTAAAGTAAAACTAATAAAATTCCCAAATGTTTTACAACAATATTACTAAAGATACCCTGTGAAGTTTACCAATGAATTAAACTTACTAAACAGTAATATAATACCATTATTTAGATAAGGGAATAATTAACGTTTAAAATAATACTTAATAAATAACAAATATATTCATATAAAATATAATTAATATTAATTGGTATATTTATCATGTATTCGGAAGTTCCCAAATCTTTAAAGTATTCATACGGAGGTCACCACCCCAGATTAGTTTGGGCTTACAAAATATTCTTATAAGCACGATTAAAATTGAGTTTGAATTTATGCTTAGATTTTTAATATAGTTAGGTTGATTTGAATTTTGTTCTTCAGGTGATGTCTGTGTTGTTCAACCAGATTGTCTAGAGGCCAAGACATAGGTTTGACAATCTACTGTGATTGTAGAAGCAAATCATCTAGATGAATTTGAATAGCTACCAAAAAAGTATTTAAAAACTACCCTCATCTTCTCCAAGGAACAAAATGGCTGGCTTAAGAACTTAAAAAATATATTTTTTTAGGACTAACCATGGAATGTATCATTTTATCTCATGGTGCAAAAGAGAATATGACTATATAAAAACCGTGAGACTGGAATTAGATGATATAAAACTGATATAAAGTGATTAACCTCAGAATTCCTTGTGTGGTTTTCCAGTTCACAATGATGAGAAGCTTTAGACATAATAATCCTAGGTCATGTTTGGTCATGGATGATACAGTGGTGCTGAGCATGTGTGTCTATGCAGACTCAAACAGTCTCAGGTCGAGTTTCAAAGTAACTTCCCCAGAATCAACCTCATGTAGCGGCAGAACTTTGAGGATTGGACCTCTCGATGTCTGACTGAGGTAGAGAATGTCTGAAATTCTCACTTCAGTGCGGCCCATAAACTCTGTAACAGGAAACTTTTACATCAATATCCAAAACTGAATCCAAGAGCTTGAATTGAGTAAATGAAATACATTAGTTTGTACAACCTTAAAATTTATTGTTATAAACTAGTTGGATAATTAGGTTCATGTTATTGATCCTGGGAGGAGAACTTTCCTCTCTTTGAGAGGAGAAAAGGCTGTAGCAAGAATGAAAGATAGAGTGTACAGCTGTGGCAAAGTTGACCCCACACAAAATACATAGTTAAGTTACACAAAATAAATAAGTAGGTAATAGCTAGTATAACCTGAAGCCAACTATTGCTTTTTGTCAGAAAGTTTTATAGGAATACTATTTAGATCTGTCTGGGAGTTTGTTGTATAATATTGGACCAAAATGAGGTAAGCTCTTCCTCCCTATTTAATTATTTCAAACAAAATGTCCTAAACAAAACAAACTCCAAACATAAACTACAACTACTACAACTGGAAACCAACCGTCAGGTGAGAAATATCCTTTGTCCTTGACAGTAACACAAAGCACGTCCTCTGCCAGATCCTTAACTAGGAACTGCATGCTTGCGTTCCACCGAGACTCTGCTGCTGTGGTGTGTACCACGGGAGTGTGGTGTTCCTGGGAACCCATGCTCACCTCACAGAACACCTCACGCTTGCCTACCAAGAACACCACAAACATACAAAGGCTTAATACACACAAGAGTTAATATAACATTAATTATTATTAAAAAGGCACTTAAATAAATACTGACAATTATTAAACAGTAGCCATTTTAAATAGATAAAGTTAAAAACTTTGATCAACGTATACCTATACAACTGGATATTTAAACTTGTTCTACTTGTCTGGTCATGTAAGAGGACTTTTTTAATATCCTTTCAAAAGTAAGTAGGTCTTTTTTGAGATTCACTTTAAAACTGAATCACAAAACAATTTTTCTGTATTTTAAAGAACTTCTTAAAAACTACTATTTAGCTGTATACTCAGTTACAGTTAAAGATATCTTGGCTAAGTCTTAAATGGGCAAATTCAAAGTTCCTGCATGACTTGATTGCTTTTTATATACTTGATGCAACACTATACTCAAAGTATATATAAATAATAATAATTGACTGATTTGATTTATTCATTTATTGATTTATTGATTACTTAATCAAATGATTTGTTACCAACAGCTACAGGTTACAGCTATGGATATTTACTGTTAACTTTGGCTATTCATGCCATAAATATTATGGTTACATGTGGTATAGTTTTGAATATCTTTGATTTCAAGGAGAGTTTAATGGCTTATCACAATCTTTATTTTAGTTAATGATGCATTTCCATCCAATCCAAAACATACACATAAAAACCAAAATATTTTATTTGTTAAAACAAGTGGTTTAGAAGCAAAATACTTATATTTTTATAACTATGCATGCTGATCATATGTGCATTATCTGGATGGATATAAGTTAACAATAGTTAGTTATATAAAAACAACAAAGGTGAATGAATGATACCTGAACGTAAATTTTTGTTAACGTCAGTGACTTCAACAACCATTACTCGAAGAACACCAATGGGACGACGCCCTCTTACTATGAAAACAAGCAAGCAGCAAGAGAGTTAGCAGTTAGTTAAAAGTAAGCAAAGCAAAAACAGATAATTCTAAAATACTGGAATAGTAACAAAAGGAACAAAGTAAGTAAAAATGCAGGCGGTTAGTGATAGTAAACATCAAGTGCATTAAGCAGAAAACCAAACAGAAGACCGTTGAATTTGGCTTCGGATAGTATAGAAAATTACATGAATAAATAAATGATGAAGTATAGTGACTATTAACAGAAATAGTTCGTGTGACAATGAATTGTATGGTGAATGAATGAATGGCTTTAATAAAGTAAGTTTTTTTAATACGGATGAGGTTCTTCTTGTCTAATAATTGTATCATATCATTATTTACATGATCAGTGAACCTTCAGCTAATGGTGGTAGCCATCAGGTCACAATAATATTACATAGCTAAAGTTGTTAATGTTTGGCGGGATTTAAACCTGGGACCAGAGTCAAACGGGCCAAAAACTAATCCAGCTACACCCAATTTGTTTCACAGATACACAACATAAATATATGTATATTAATTTGCAAATAGCTGGTAGGTAATACAAATTTAATAATTAACTAAACTGTATTAAACTTAACAGAAAACAATTTGACCCTTTCTCAAACTATAGATTTTGATCAAATGATAACGACCCAAAAATTAAAAACTACCTTCATTAGCCAGATAATACTTCATGCGACATGCTGATTACCATGCTGGTCCCAATGTAGTTGGTGACTTTCATTTGTTAATCACAAGCACCACCACTATGCATACAAACCCAACTCCCTTCCGTTGCACTTTTCAACTTTTACTCATAAAATATCAAGTGTTTGTAAAGCATTCCACTTACTATTAGAACACTTTCAACTGAACAGAATACCTGCTTAAAATTTCTAATTTGGATGAACAACAATACTTCTATTAGCCTGGAACGTATTAGTTTACTTTTTTATTAGGCTTATTTTTGCTGCTCAGAAACTTATACATGAGTTGGAAATAGTTAAGCCAAATGTATATCTTGTGGCTTTGTATATGTGGGTTCTCATCCAGCAGTACTATTTCAAGGTTATCTTCTTAATTAGCTTGATGCAGACTTGCTTGTTAGATTTAACCCTGTCAGGCTGAATCTGGTTTTTCTGCTTTAATTTCTATATCCTTCAGTGACATTTGCATTTTACCAGTCGTCCAGAATTATTGTGATTTCTTCGGTATTAGACCTTGTTCCTAAGGGTAGTCTGTATGAGGCTTGAAACAACTTATTTGGAACTAACCATATAGAAACCAAAATGAGTGCTATTTTCCTTTGTTTCATAGTGATGTTACAGGAGGAATCAGGTTCTCTCAAGCTATCACGACTTCCTCAAAGCAGAATGTGGTTATCGAGCTGTAGCCATGAGAAAACTTCCAACAACATTACTGTCAAGAGGATTCTCTGTTGTTTGTTTGGGTGAAATACGTAGGGTATGGATATTGAATAAGGACAAGGATAAGGAATAAGACAGTTGAACTATATAATGCAGCCTCATTAGCGTAGAAGGTCATTTGTAAATCACTACTGGACAGTTGGGTCTTAACGAAATAGTTGATGATGAGACCTTCAGAATGAAATAAATGTATTTCCCAGAGTTAGTCACCTCTCTCAACAAGCAGCCAGTTCTACATTTAGAGGCACAAGGAACATGGCGTATTTTAGCCTTGCACTTGTACCATGTGTAGACCCAATCCCATGCTACTGGGTCAACATGCAATAAAATACATGCATGATGCGACATGCAGAACATGTTGATGTTCCTCACCCCCTGGTGATGGAGGTTTCAGTTTGTTGCCTTCCACAACAACCACCAATACTCTGCCTACTGCGCCAAACCTCTGTTGCCCTGCGCGACATCAGTATCAATATTAAATAAGTGTTCAGATAAATTAAACATCGTTATATCAAGAGCACAATATCTCGAAAAAAGAAAGATAGCTTAAATTAAGGCAAAATATTATGATGGTTGATAAGGCATTTTAATGTTGAAAATACATTAAGAAATTAAGACCAATAAAATTGTTTTTATAACTAACAATGTGTTCCATGACATACAGCTTATCTATTTAATGGAAATGCCTAAACTTCTATATGATAAAGTATAAAGTATGCATAAAATAGTAATCTTACTAATATTATAAATGTGAAGTTTGTGTGTATGTTTGTTTGTTTGTTTGTTTGAAGTTCAATCACGCATGAACCACTGGAAGGATTGGGCTGAAATTTGGCATGATGATAGCTCACATTCCTGATTAACATATAGGCATATTTTTATCACAAATATCCTTTCGGGATCTGCCCCAGTGGGTCTGCAGTTCCCCATGTTAACCTTATGAGTATTCATATATTTATAGAGAATTCAACAATTTAGTCAGCTGTTTCAACTAAAAAAGTTGGTTCTGTGATATATAAAAGTATTAAATAAATATACCGGGTGTCCAAAACCACCCGTACACCCCTTTCAAAACGTTGGAAACATTTTCTTACAAACATAAAATAATACAAAACTAGCTAAATTGGGCACGGTCTACCAAATGGTAATAATTTAAAATCCAAAATCACACCGGAAGTGGCTTTTTCAGACCGGAAGTTGACTTTTTTAAATGTAAGCTACCAATTTTGATTACAGAATCGGATTCTACGTTGAAAAATACATAACTTTTGTATAAAACATGTTTTGAAAAAACTAGATTTTTACCTCCAATCCCCTATCAAAGTCAATAATTTTGGGTCATTCATCTGCCAAAGTTGCTTGAAACAATAATACAGAAAAACAAATAATAAAGATTACATAAAGAAATGTGATAAAGAATCAGCTGTTCATTGTGAACACTATAGTAATTGAGTAACAGCTGGTCTACACATTGCTTAATATCACATTAAAAAAAATCATTTGTTTTTACATTAAAATAGTCAAATGTAAAAACAAATGATTTAAACAAAAATTAAATTAAGCAATGTGTAGACCAGCTGTTACTCAATTACTAAGGTGTTTACAATAAACAGCTGATTCTATTCATCATATGTCTTTATGTAATCTTTGTTATTTGTTTTTCTCTATTATTGTTTCAAGCAACTTTGGCAGATGAATGACCCAAAATTATTGACTTTGATAGGGGATTGGAGGTAGAAAACTAGTTTTTTTAAACATGTTTCATTCAAAAGTTATGTATTTTTCAACGTAGAATCCGTTTCTGTAATCAAAATTGGTAGCTTACATTTAAAAAAGTCAACTTCCGGTCAGAAAAAGCCACTTCCGGTGTGATTTTGGATTTGAAATTATCACCATTTGGTAGACCGTACCCAATTTAGCTAGTTCTGTATTATTTTTTGTTTGTAAGAAAATGTTTCCAACGTTTTGAAAGGGGTGTACGGGTGGTTTTGGACACCCGGTATAGGATGGAGAGGACACAGCTAACTCACCTGATGAAAGGTTGCAGACGAGTCAAAGAACACATAAAACACACACATAATAATACTTGATATTTCGCCTCTTTCAGAGGCTTCTTCAGAAGTAGGCCTTGATGGCAGTTACAAGAACAAAACCAAAAAAATAAAAGATGGTTGTTCTTGTAACTGCCATCCAGGCCTACTTCTGAAGAAGCCTCTGAAAGAGGCGAAATATCAAGTATTATTATGTGTGTGTTTTATGTGTTCTTTGACTCGTCTGCAACCTTTCATCAGGTGAGTTAGCTGTGTCCTCTCCATCCTATATATTTATTTAATCCAAGCTAAATGCTTTTTCCTAAAAACATAACCATATAAAAGTATTAAAAAGTTATAAGATTTACCAACAAGGTGCAGCACACTATATTTTTTTTGCATTCATGTAAACAGCTAATTTGAACCAAGCAGCAATAAAAAAATGTGATACACAATGAGGACTGTGAAAGTAGGATTGTTTACAGTTATGTTTATGTTTTTAATGTCATGAATTCCTAATAATTTATATTTCTTTATTGTTTAGGTGAAGTGGTAGAACATAATGGCTATGGTAGATGTGTAATACCATTAGTATACCGTAAATTTAAAGAAGCAAATTTTATCAAACTTTGTCCTCCCCCATTCCAAACACTAAGCTTGAGTATAACTGCAATAAGCATTTTAAACTTATATGCCAACCCCGTACGAGGGACGGGTACTCTGCTAGTGCAATAAATAAAGTTGTTTGTTTGTCTTTTTGGAGTGGATTAAATATTGAAAAAAATTAGGTTTAAATAAAAGCTTAGGGTTTTTAGGAAAGATAACAACAACATAACTATTTGAATCCTCAACCCTCTCCTTACACTCAATATCCATAATCTTTGTAATAGGTGTTGCTATGTAACCTCGTCTGTTGATGGCCCATTGTGTAAACTTGGTAAATGCTTTATGCACATTTCTGTAAAGTATATTTTTAGCTACTATAAGTAGTACTATAAGATCTGAATGCAAAGTATTATGTACTTATAGTGACAAAATAGACTGAAATTAAAGTAAGACTTATTTCATTAGTTGTAGGAGCTCATTATTTAACACTTCGGCTACATGTATGGTGTCGAGTATTTTAGTAAAACTTTAGTAAGAATAAGAACATAAACTTGAAGAACATACATCACAAATGTGGATTACGTTTACGTAAGAAATTGTGGTTGTTAAATATCAAACAAATTTTCGCTAAACTAAATAAATACCGGTATGAAACGAATAAAAAATGTAAAACCAGAGCTTTAAAATAGTTTTTGCTCAACACATTTTTGGAATGTTTGTCACAAATATTTCCAATAAAGACAATAACATACCTATTCTTAAGAATACATTACTTCCTCAGTTCAACTTTATGAAATCTATAGTGGCAGAACCGCTTTAAATTATTTGATCTGTAAAATTCTAAATACTTACAGTGTTGGATTTATGGTACCTACTTGCGGCTCTAGGCCAAATTAACAGGAGCGACCCCGGTCCCTTAACAAATCTTCCTAGTAATAGTAGCAAAAATGTGAACATCTTCCGTGACCAGGGAAATATCACCATTACCACCCACAAACGCAACGTAATCATGAACATCAAAATAGATACCTATATTTTTGTATACAACACTGTGGACTCCTTTAGATGGTGGTAAATTCTGCACCAAACAGCTAAAACATTAATAATCTTGTAATTACTTGAAAATAATGTATTCTAGGATAAAGATGATTTTCAATAACAATAAAAACCTAAATAAATTAGTAAATTCCATCAAACAAAACGGAATTTAAATATCAAATTGTTTAAGAAACTGAGATAAATCTAAGAACCTACTTGATTGCTGGCGTTGCAGCTTGTACCTATCACTGGTAGTGACCTCCTCTTTGGCTTGTGTCAGTCGTCTCAGCCACAGACCTCGCTCTGTACTAGAGGTCACAGTTAGACTGGTCACATGACCTCCGTACTCCAGCCTTACCTCTGTATCCAACACTTCTGTACCTTGATGTATCACTAGCTCTGATAGCAGGAAAGGCTGTAACACATACACAACCAGCTGCGTAAACACTAAATGCTTGTAATTTGTAATCATAAGTACAGTGGAACCCTGCTAATCTACATCTCTCGAGTTTGCAACAACATCTCCAGCAACAACGCAAACTCCTGTATGTCTCCTACGGTAAAGGAAACATCTTTATTGTCTCTAGCGATCACAGAAACTATCGTTGTTAATTGCGATCACGACAAACTCCTGAATATCTCTTAAGCTAAAGGAAACATCATCGTAGTCTCCTACGATCGTATCAAAATAAACGTCTCCTGTGGTCTCAGGAACATTATCCTCTTCTTCCGTGATCAATAAATCTCAAACTATTAATTAATTCAGTCACTTAATATGCTACATGCTCCAACCTTTTTAATTTCACGACCATGGTTGTCATGTCGGTGACAGATTACCAGGCTTATACTGTATACTTATTGCTACTTAATGTTTCTAGAATTACGTCTCTGGATCAGTCAACTGTCAATGAATGCTTTTAAAATAGACTCCTCCGTAAAATCAATTTTGATCAAATCTATTTGAATGCTGTTGTTTATACAGAACAAATTTCCTGCAGATAATAAATGTGTGCTAAGAAATTTTGTTTTCTTTACTCATACAGCTGAGCTTTAAAAAAAATTGTCAATGTCCAATCTATCAAAACATATGATTTTGCCTGCCCTTAACAATACACACACCATGATGTTCCTGTTCATCTTAATAGGATCAATAATGTATGTAGTGTTTCATAACAAAAATATTGTTTAATACGTTCACTATATCTGACACTTCTCTGTATCTGAGGACTGAGTATGGTTGGTAGCTTACGTGTTTAATTGTAAAACTATAATATGATAATTATTTAAGTTATTTACTAGACTAAGAAATATTTAAACAATATTTTATCATTTAAAACAAAAAATGTTGGGCAAATATCTACATTTGTTTTGTAATGATTATAAAACAAAATCGAATAGTAATTGAGTATTTAAAAAAATTTGTAGTGCTGTTTAAAAAATGACTGAATTTTTGTAAACATAATGGTGACAATGGTGCCAGTTTTTTACATTGCTGTGTATGTAGGCTACAGTATCAATGACGAAGCTAACATGGCTATGGGTAAGTCGGGAAATCTTTGGACAAAAAACAAAAAAAAAAAACGGCAAAAGAAAAAAACATAACACAGAAAACGAGAAAACACAAAAAAAAACTAGGTCAGCTTCAGAAAAATTTTAAAATATTTACAAGAAATGTTTGTTGTATTGAACTGTTATGAAACGCATAAGTATTTCCATTAGTTAGATAAACTTTTAGTTGAGTCTTTTAATCTCATCAAAAATTATAACTGATGTTAGTTTTAAAATAACTCATGTAATACCAGAGTACTTGACAATTGCTTTATTTTGTTTGAGCAACAGGTACACACTAGTTTCATATCATCAAGTAATTTCAAATATTCAGCCGTTTTAGAACTTTTCACCAACCTGTATATTTATAAATAGGCTTACTTTTCTGTATATTTTGAAGCGAACATGTGAATGTCTGTCAAATGAGAAGGACTGTCCGAGCGGTCTGCTGGGTTGAGCCAGAAGGAGGAAATCATTCATCAGGAAGCCCACCAACTCTTTGCCACTCTTAGTCTGGAAAATACAAGATATTTCACATCAAACTTGACTAGAATATTTAAATAACTAGGTTTTTCAAACTGTTTACATAGTACAGATACTAAAAAATCTACTTAATAAAACTTTAATGACAAAGATACAGTTGGTATGGTAATTTTGTTTTTAAATAGTCACCTTGGTAAGGGAGCCAAAGTGCAGGAACTTTCTTGGTCCAACGGAGTTTGTGAGAGAGTTAAAGACGAGTCTCTCTTCTAAGCCATCAAAAGATACATGTTTCTGAAGCCATTCCAAACGATCTGAATTTTCCTTTTCCCTCACTCCTTCATTTACCTGTAAAAAAAAACGGCATCAGCAAACTGACACATACTTTCTCCCATTAGCTTGTCAACAAACCTTTTAATGGAACTAAAACTGTTGGATAAACAATGGAATTAACGCTATTTTTTGGGCAAATAAAAGAAATTTCATAGGTACATTTTGAAACATAACTTTTACAATATCAGGGATTTTGGATTTCCCATTTTGTTTAGAGTTAAAAGGACTAAAAAAAATTAAATAACAGTTATTATTGAAGACATTTTATGTTTTTTTATGTTAATTAAGTTTTTATAGGAAAATCACCATTACAATTCAAAATAAAAACCGCCCATACATGACCGCCATGACCAAATTTCATCAAAATCGGAAAACTGGTGTGGTATGTAGATCTGTACGCATCCACACACACGGACTTAATTTTGAAGACCACTTTTTGGGTTCAGGGGAACAAAAATGAATATTTCCAACCAAAACTTAAACTCAAACTTTTTTTAGGAAAACAATACTTTCTCCATATACTAGTATAAGGAAATAAAGTAAAAAAAGTAAAAAAGTCAAAAAATACAAATAATTATTAATTTATAGTGTTTTTATTTTTTTGGGAGAGGGGGAAAGTGCATTTACGCACACATATGACTAGCCTGTAGTGTGGGTTTCAGGCTATCGAGCGGCAGTACTGAGAGAGTCTGGAAACCAGATATGTGGGTCCCTGTCACGGTAATGCTCCCTGAAGTGTGTTTCCTGGGCTTTCATGGTGCGTTGATTTCCTAGGCCAGCTGATCTAAAAGGGAGTCAGCAGACCTGGACGTCTCAAGATTACTCTCGAGAATCCTCACTTCTTATGAGACTTCATCTTTTCAAGGTTGAGTGGTGCCTTAAAAACACTGCATCGCCCAGTCCCAGGGATGGCTTTCATATCATGTTTGCCTTTTTCTGCGCAGAGGAAACATCACTCTGCTGCTACACAGTTGTTCCAGTTGTGGCCCAAACCACCACACCGAAAACAATTCTTGGCTTGGTCGGAATCCTTACAGTTTTGAGAGAAGCAACCCGTCTGAGCCCGCAATTGACCCATCTAATTCTCAGGTGTGTGAGATTTAGCAACTTGCTGGCATCTTGGTCCTCCGTTTCAGCGACCACCATGGGGATTTTTTGCTTTTTCTCCCCGGTTGGGCTGTGTGAGCCATACCTTGAGTTTACAAATGATACCCGTCCCACAGAGCCAGAGAATCCCCCAGAGATATTTTCTTGTTGACATTTATATAAATTATAATTATGATATTTTAAATGTGAATGAATTCCCAAGAAACTTATGTTACTCACTTGAGTGCAGAACTCTTCAGCTTTTGCCAAAGCTTCAATCAGGTAAGTGTAGTCTGGATGATCCACTGGAGTTGATTCCACAATCTAATGACAAGCCAAGAGTAAAGATCACTTACCATTGTATGCCGGTACTAAATGTGTACATAACTAAACATAGTAGGTATGATTTGCACCAGCAATTAAAGAAAACTTGTTGGCTTCAAAAAATGTTCAGTTGAGAAATAAAATTTTAAAAAGCAAATTAGTACAATTTACTCAATTCATTTGGACTAAAAAGTTGCATTTGTGTTTAATTCACAAGTATTTAGTTACAATGGCAAAATTGTACCAAGTAGATAAGATCTGGATAAAATTTCCTACAATCTACTATTATGAATTTCTTGAAAATACTCAATAAATGTAGCCTAAATTTGCCTTAAAACAAAAAAGTGTGAAATTTAATGTTTGCTATGTCTAATGTCTACATTGAAGACGGGGGTTTTCAATTTTTTTTCATTTTGAGGTGATTTTTGGTATCTTTCTTGAGTATTTTCAAGAAATGCATAATAGTAGATTGTAGGAAATGTAATTTTCTTTCGGAATATTACCTTATTCTTTGGTCGATTTCCTCACCATTTAAAAGTTATTTGCAAAAACGTCAAGCAACCTCCAAATTTCTAGTGGTAAACAAGTTGGAGATTTTTTTTTTCTACAGTTCTGCTGGATCGATTTTGTTAAATAATGTGTCTTTTGGAAGGCATAAACTCTTTGAGTTGCTTTTTCGATTGATGTGTATTTTATAGCGGTAAGTTCAATAGTATTAAAGTTATAAAGCGTTAAAACCGGGTCAATAATTTTGAAACACCCGGTACTTCTAATATCTGTTGTCAATTATTTTAAATGAAGATGAATATTAATACAGAAAATATTTTCTATGCAAATAAGTAATAACAAATGTATTGATACTTTTCGATCCAAACACATGTTGTGAGTACCGTTACCTTAAACAAATTCAAGCAAATATTTTAAAATTCTAATATCTGTTGTCAATTATTTTAAATGAAGATGAATATTAATACAGAAAATATTTTCTATGCAAATAAGTAATAACAAATGTATTGATACTTTTCGATCCAAACACATGTTGTGAGTACCGTTACCTTAAACAAATTCAAGCAAATATTTTAAAACTAGCTGTAACCCGCGGGCTTTGCCCCGTTTAACTTCTTAATTTTCAAGATTATCTCGTTCGCATGGCTCAATCACGTCCTGGTTGAAGTTTGTTCGTTACGCTCACTCACCTTTAGGTTGGAGCTCGTTCGCTACGCTCACTTGCCTTCAGGTTAGCTCGTTCGCTACGCTAACTCGCCTCCAGGTTGAAGTTCGTTCGCTACGCTCACTCACCTTTTGGTTGCAAATTAGCTGTTGTCATAAATGTAAAACAAATAATAGTGCTGCACCCTGTTGGTAATCCTTGTAACTGTAATGCTATGAACATCATAGAACAGAACCAACTTGTTTAATTGAAACAGCTGTTAAGATTCAATAATTCTATTTCTCATAAGGTTAACATGGGAAACTCCAGAGCCACTGGGGCGGAGCCCGAAAGGATTTTTGAAATAAGAATATGCCTATATGTTAATCGGGAATGTGAGCTATAATCATGCCAAATTTCAGCCCAATCCGACCAGTATTTTTCGCGGTCACTTGTCACAAACATACATCCATACATCCATACATCCATACATCCATACATCCAAACTTTCTCATTTATAATATTAGTAGGATTACATTACTGGAGTTGAAGGGTCAAACACACTTTCATCTTTTAATTTTACTGGTTTAAAGTTTCACTATGATCAAATAAATAATCTAAATTGTTTACCTTAAAATTTCCTTAAATGTAGGACAATTGCTTGAACATTGATTCAAATGTATTCATTGATGAATTGTTGCAGGAATATTTGAGCAATACTTTGTTCAAAACTGTTTTAATGATGAACAGCAAATAAATAATATTCACCTCCTAGCTAATTATAATATTTGTAACATGGGCAACTAGTCTTAGCCAACAACAAGTTAGATATCTAACCTTCTGGATGAGTAGAGGATATTTGGTGATGCGCTGCATGGGTTTGATGAGGAAGGAGCTGAGAGGCATCCCCTTGGTGCGAGGGTCGGCCTGACATCGGCGCACCAGCTGACGGAACTGTTCACTCTGCTCTGTCAGACGCTGGAGCTGCGCAGCCGCAGTCAGCTGACAGCTGCAGAACCTTACGTACACTGTCATGCGGGGCAACTGTAACAAACACACACTCAGACAAACAATAAATGCTTGGGTGGCGATAAACACATTGCTTAGACTTTGCTACAATGAAAAGCCAGCAAATGCCTGAAATACAAAATTTAAGAAAAGTCCTCACTAGGAGTAAACTACTTTATGTAAGAGTATACACTACTTAACCCCCTTTCAAGCCCTAAAAGAAAACTACAAATGCAAGCATAACTCAAGAAAACGGGTGACAAGCAAGATATTGAGGGTTCAGATCTTGACAAGTCTGGTGTGAACTCATTAGAAACTCCCCGTGGAGCTTAGTGGGAGAGGCTTCAATAAAATAAACTATGGACAGCTTGTCAGGACTGCTGAAATATTTGTGAATTGTGCCTCTGATCAGGCAGTTTGCTACTATTTACTTTTCTTTCCTCTGAAAGTTTGTCTATAAAAACTTATTTTGTAGAAATGAGGAATTTTTTTCCATAATCGTCAGGTAAAACAATACATGCAATCTTTTTGTACAGTAGTAAACTTAAATTTTCTATTTATTTATAGACATTTTAAACTATTTATTATCTAACCTTTTGCTTTAATTTAGTACTTACACTTTCACATAGAATATCTCCAATCATTCTTATCACTCCACCTTCGCTCATTTCTCTACGAACCCGGAGAGCTCTAAAAAAATCCAAACACATTACTTCTTCTAAAATGTTGTTGGATTATGAGAATATTAAACATGGTGATCGAGTTAACAATCAGTATAACCCAAAAACTTGCAACAGCTTATTTGCAGTACAATCTTGGTAGTTAAACAATTTTATCGGCAGTAACATAATGTATCTAAAAGATTTTAATGAATCATAAAAATGTGGATTACAATTTACAATCTCAAGACTTTCTTATTTGCTATGTGTTTGACATTTTTCTGTTCCATATAACAGTAAATATTGTTTGTTATGATATAGTGCTCATTAGTAAAAATGAGGAGCCAAAACTGTAACCTATTTATTGTCATTTGTACCTATTTATGCCAATATTTTTATATTCCTGAAAGAGAGGTACCGGAACTCTATTCCGCCACGTTCCCCCGCAAATCGAGCACTGCTCATTAGTATTTTCCTCCAGAATTAATGTAATAACAACAATTAAATAGCTTACACATCTTATCATTATAAATCTACAGATGATTACAGCTATCACTGATGATTAGTTTCAGAGGTTGATTGCTTCATTTTCTATTTAGAAAATTGATAATCTATAATATTAAAACGAAACAGTGTTTTTTTATTTCACGATTCTGAATCAACCACTTGACGGATTTTCATGAGTTTTGTGTTGAAAGAAAGATAGTTTTGAGAACTAGGGAATGTCGAAGCCATAATTTTAGTTTAGGGTCCCAGATTTTTGGAAATTAAGTTTTAATTTTTAAAAAGTCTAGCAGCCGACGCTAAGATTCTAAACTAGCTTTTGGCATAAAATAATTTGTTTAACATAACAGCTGTAAACATTCTGCTTTTGTGTCACAAATTCAGCATTTGGATAAAAATGTAAATACATACTTAGGGTTGACTTATTTATACTATGTGTAATGCTAATCATTGATACGTTCAATTCTCCTCTAAGAGGTGATAGATTAATTAAATATGCATAGTAAAATACTAAGATGTTTCTATTATTTTTTAAAGCAATCTTTGTAATCTTCGATTTGTTTTAGCTAACAGCTGGTTAAATATAAACTATGGAACTATGAGGTTATTTTATTTACTCTTATTTTAAGTCATTGATTATAGGAAATAAGTAAGATTAGTAGAAATAATTAGACCACAGTTTTAACCAAAATTAATTAAACCACAGTACAAATCGAGGCTCTGTACACGAGTCTTAATAAAAAAAGGATAAATGCAAATTATTTTACTGCTCCACTTTTCAAGGAAAGATTAGAAAAATAACAATGATTACATGTTTTAATTCTTAATGGTAGCTCTTTGTTTACAATTAATTTTTGTTTGCTTTAACTTTGTTTGGATTAGGCCCGGAAATATTGATGTCATAAAAAGAAGATCAAGAATAATCAGGAATCACGATTTTAAATTACCACCACAACCTCAGCCGGGTTTTATACAAAGATAAACAGATGGATGACATAGATTGAACACAACGTCAACATTGACCTAGGATACTGCAATTAGACAAACCATCCTTTTATGAAATCGTGTTCAGTTGCAGTTAAGATTAGGGGGGCCGATATCAGCGCCCCCAAATGTGGAAATATCAATTTTACTTCAACTATGAATATATTGTAGTTTAAATTAACTAATATGGGAAATTACAATGTACGTTTATTCAATGAGGGTGGGTAATTTTTAAGGATAGAACTGATAACGCTATGGATAATAAACATTGACAATTACGTCATTAGCTTTACTAGCGTGTTTACTTTTTATATTCCTGCTACATGTGACCAGTTTTTTTTCAAATGAATGTTATTTGAACCAAACAGCTGTTTCGAAACAAACTGTTATTGTTTTTAATTTTCTTTGTTTACACTTATTTATTTAGCAATTAATGCAGTTAAATTGATATAGGCTAAAGGATAGGTGTGTGACGATTAGTTTTGATGTTAGGACACCAAAGTTAAATTATGTGTACCTACTGTGAATTTTATTGCATACTATCATTTTATTTTAGGTCGTTTCTATTCAGACCTACTGGAAATGGTGTATAGTAGTTGTATTTTGGTGATAATAATTATGGAAGAGGCAGGTATGCTGGAAGGTGGTATCATTGACTAGGTCTATACACTTCTCAATTCACTATTACTCTCTCTACCTTAGGCTTCTTTTAATCAGTGTGCGTCTGTGTGAATCGGCTGCAAATCTCACTTTAACAACGCTTTTCATATCGTAAAAATTGCAGAATTGCTGTTTTATTGTAAAATTATCGGATTTAAAATGCATATCGTATAGGCCTATGATGGAATAAAAACATATTTGGTCACACAACATTTGTTTACAAGATGATTTTTCACATTAAAACTGCAAGAAACTTTGCCTTTATTTGTGTAAACTAGCTGATCTGAATTGTACACGGTTTTAACTGACTACTGAATTCCCGTACGTAGGACGGGCCAACACCTCGTAATATAATAACACACATTATAGATAACACATTATAGATGTGTTATAATCACATAATAGATAAATATAATAGATAAATAAATAAAAAACAATTATGTTGCTGGTAATTATGATATTTAGAGTTTAAATACGATTAAAAGTAGATTTCCAACAACAAGTATATTTTAACCTTATTTAAAATAGGCCTAGTAAACCATTGTCTTTTCCTTAGCAAGCACACCATTTTGTGCAAAACAATATAATTTCTGAGTCAGGAACAACTAACTCAGTTTTGCTCTACATTTATTTGTATACTTTCTTAAATAGGTTGTAATGAAAGCTTAAAACTTGCTCAAGGTTAGAGCATAAACTTGAGTTCCCTTGTATCTGACAAGGGGGAACAGCTTATTAAGGTAGAGTGTAGGAAATCGTTTAAAAGTATTGTCCGTATTGCTCTGTCTAATAATAAATCTTAATGCATTATGTTCAACCAGTGTTGAAAAATATAATTTATCATAAATAAATCTTGGTACAAGAGAATTACCGCTTATTAAATAGCATCATCAAATTGTTTTAACCCCCCCATCTTTTCAGTAAATGATCAGTTTAAGATTCTCCAACAAAACAGGACACCCTGAATGTAATCAAAATAACCATTTTAGGAGTTTTGAATAATACATTATAATGAATGACCACTATTTATCTAGTCAATTACCATAAACTTTACCCCACGGTTAAATTCTGGGTAAAGTGTGGGCCTATCCACATGATTTCTGAAGAGATGTTGTGTATCCTAGTAAATTACATAAACCACCGGAAAGCATAGTTTTCAAAACTTGAAATCTTCCAAATTGGTTAAAATATAGTAAATGACTGAACCAGTAATTCACTGGTTGTGATCAAGTAAATGGCCACTTAATAATTATTTGGTAGGATTGTGATCTTAAATGATTACAGCATCGTACATAACATGTTTTGATGCTTCCTTTTAGGCTAATTACATGAAATAAACAATCATGATTGACACTTTTTTTAAATAGTGATAGGATATATTCCAATCAGGCTTCAAAGTTACTTTTAAGACCAATTGTGATACTCCAGGCAAAACAAAAAGCTTAATATTATGTTTGTATATGGAACTGTCATTCACAAGGGGGTGGCCATTCACTGGTGCACTCACACTTACACTCACCCTACACATATCACATATTAGAACTTGCTAACCTGAGAAACATGTGGTTGCAAACAATGATATCTTGCCAGTTCACAAAAATAGTGCTCAGTTCATCTGGAGTTACGATTTTGCTTTCAGCTAATGGTCTTTCAAAAACCTGTTGATAAAAGTAACAAAAATCCATAAATCTCATAGCTTTTGTAATATATGTACAGTTAATCTTTATTTAAGAGAGTCCAACCTTAGTACTGAAATATCAGTTAGAACAATAAATTAATATAAAGTTCATATCCGAAAAAAAAACAAAAAAACATAATGTAGGCCTCCTCTAAAATTAAGTAAAAGAGAGGATAATTGAACTTGTCTTTTAATATAATCCAAGTCTCTAGATACATGAATATGAAAATTTGTAAAATAAACTATTTGTTCTTTCATAGCATGGTAGTAGAAAGTACTAAGCACATGATGCAATTTAAAGTAGGCCCATTTTCCACTTTAAGTTAAATAGCATAGTCAAGTCTAAGTAACATTAGAAATAATTTCATGATATATCAGAAATACTTACATCATGTACAATGGACATATCATCAATATAAGCCTGTTCTGTCATGATTAATTCCTTGATGGATTTCTGCCTTTGTTTCTCTTCTTTACTCAGTTTTATTTTCTTTTTCTCAGTTTCGACTGTAACAAGAGCTTATAAATCAAATTTAGTACATTAAATATATTATACAATACTTAATGTTATTGAATGAATATAATCTGTGGGGACCAAGCAGTATTTAAAATGTAACAGTTATTTTGACAAAGATAATGCCTTAAATATCAACTGTTTGTTTACATTATTATTTATATGTTTTTCATTTCTACGGTCATTAAATAAAATCCTGGTACAGTAAAACAACATAGGTAATAACAATTGTAAATCAATTGGGGAATTTTGCTTAAGAAGGTATTTCAACTATTTCAACACATTCACTGCTAATGAATACAGGGTTTTTTTTACGTGCAACCCAAATTAAAAGTTCTAGTACTGTGAGACGCATATTAATGTAAAGACAACCTTATATTTTGGCATCCCTGTTTTCTTTACTGTGTTGCAGATCTAGCTTATAAGCCGCATTTACACAAAGCCACTTGTTGGGCAGGTTACTTGCCTCAAGTAAATTGAAATACTGTACATTTAGAGGCAAATAACCTGCCTGATCTACTCTGGCCTTGTGTAAACGTGGCTATGCCTACTTACATAGTTATCTTACTATGAGGTTTAGTGAGTTAGAATAATACATTGTAAGTAAATCATTGGTTTATGCCAAGAACGGTTTGAAATTAAGTTTCCGGGTGTGATTCCAGTAACATCAACTATTAATGAAATGTGCAAATTTAATAGAACCGAATTCGAATTTAAGGAAAAACTCTAGAGATTTTCCAGCGAATTTCCATTAGCCAGATTTTATTTTTTCTTCAATCTAGAGATTTGAGTCGGTTTCCTTAAACTTGTATTATGTCAAAAAAAGATTATTTATTAGGTGCTGGATTCACACCGGGAAACTTTAATTTCAAGGCATAAAACTAATGATTACTTTCAATGTATTTCCAATTTATACAATACAAACCTTGAGAAGCTAGGTCCAAATGCTTATGGAGAATAGTCAGACTGGAATTTTGCCGCCAACACATTAGTATTTTGTAGTAGTATTTTGACAGAACAAATAATTCTTATAAAGTGGTTGAATGTGACAAACATATGAAAGTAGATAAAATGAAACAATAAAACTCATGCTAAATGACTAGAACCACTAGATTATATTTCAGTATCATTCAAGAAATCTTTAACTTTGTAGTAGGCCTTTCTGATCAATAATCTTTTACAATTCTCTGAAAAATCTTTCTAATACGCTTTCATTCATGTTGTTTGGTAATTTGTTAAAAAGTTTCATTCCCATGTAATAAAAACCTTTTTCTAGATTAGTGGTAGAGTGTGGTGTGGATAAACCAGTAAATTTTCATTTCTTATGTTGTAATTGTGTTGGGTTTTCTCAGTTGAGTACCATGTTAGGTTGTTCTTTACATGGTTAAAAATTGCATACTTGGTACTGTAAGGATTTTCAAATTTATAAACAGGTTTTTGCATGTAGAACCTGGCCATGTTAAAGTCATTATTCTCAAGATTTTCTTTTGTGCTGTTAGTACTTCTTTAGAAAATTCAGTATTACTCCATAACACTATACCATATTATATTAATGAATAAAAATGACCGTAGTAGAGCGTAATTTTAGTTTTAATACTTATGCAATGAGTTTGTCAGCTTATGTTGTGACATATAGGCCTACTATTTAACTTCTTGGGTAAGGTTCATTTGTCTGAGTTTTCAACTGTCCGAGTTTGTAAAAAAATACAAAATATTTGAAAAATCAGTTGTCCGAGTTTTGATAAATAATCTATATATATAAAAGGCAAAGCCCTCACTGACTCACTCACTCACTCATCACTAATTCTCCCACTTCCCATTTACCTAGGAGGCTGAAATTTGGTACACTGATTCTTTAGGCATTAAATAGGAAAACTAAGCTGTTTTTATTTTGATCGGACTCTCGGGCTCCGCCCCAGTGGCTCTGGAGTTTCCCATGTTAACCTTATGAGTACTCATATTTAAATGGAATGAATGAATCTTAACAGCTGTTTCAATTAAACAAGTTGGTTCTGTTCTATGATGTTCAATAGCATTTAAGTTACAAGGATTACCAACAGGGTGCAGCACTATTATTTTTGAAATTTATGACAACAGCTAATTTGCAACCAAAAGGTGAGTGAGCGTAGCGAACGAACTTCATCCTGGAGGCGAGTTAGCGTAGCGAACGAGCTAACCTGAAGGCAAGTGAGTGCAGCAAACGAGCTCCAACATAAAGGTGAATGAGCGTAGCGAACGAACTTCAACCAGGACTTGATTGAGCCATGCGAACAAGCTCACTTATGAAGTTAAACGGGGCGAAGCCCGCGGGTACAGCTATTAATAACATTTAGATAAATCAACTGTCCGAGTTTTCATTTGTCCGAGTTTATTAAATTATTTTAAAAATATCAAAATATCAAGTGTCTGAGTTTTCAACTGTCCAAGTAGAGTCAACATAAAAAATGTGACACCGCGCGCCGAGACTGGCGTCTCAGGCGCATGGTCAGAAGTCGATGTAAACCCCTTCTGCGAAAAAGTCGGGCATTGTGCGAGAGCCCCTCACGTCAACTTAAGAAAAATTATAAAATTAATTTTATAATTTTTTTTATAAAATTAATTTTTCATCATATGACTAGTTTTACAATTTTTAATTATAAAATTAAACCATTGACTTTATAAAACTTTCATCACCTAACACAAACTGATTATAACCAACCATATCTTTGTACCATATCTAGTCATGTAGGTAAAAAGATAAAAATCGAATCAAGGTTTACTTATAACTAGCTGTTACCCACGGGCTTCACCCCGTTTCACTTCATACGTATTAATAAAATTATTGATTGGTTAAGTTAAGCTGAAATAAACAAAACAGTAACAAACAGCTGACAAACAGTAAAGGTACAGCTGAGGCATTTTTATTAACATTAGGTATATGGAAAGTTCCCTTTAGAAAGGAATTACGACCTTAAAGGAAAATTTATGAAATAATGGATAGTTTTGCGCAAGGCTTCTTGTCATGACGAACATTTTAAGTATGAACCATTTATGGGGGTGTGACTTGTAGTTTTGTCAAAAGTTCATGGGTACTTAATTGGGCTTTATATATAGACGTATTAAATAAGTATAGATTTTTGATTATAAAATTTCTTTGTAAATTTTTAATTATAAAATTAAACTGTCTTAACCTAACCTAGCCAACCAAACTTGTTGATAATATAAAAAAGATATAATATAATTTTTCTTAAGGCGACGTGAGGATCACTCGCACAATGCCCGACTTTTTCGCAGAAGGGGTTTACATTGGCTTCTGACCAGGCGCCTGAGACGCCAGTCTAGGCGCGCGGTGTCACATTTTTTATATTAACTCTACTCGGACAGTTGAAAACTCAGACACTTGATATTATGATATTTTTAAAATAATGTAATAAACTCGGACAAATGAAAACTCGGACTGTTGATTTATCTAAATATTATTAGTTATTTATCAAAACTCGGACAACTGATTTTTCTAATATTTTGTAATTTTTAACAAACTCGGACAAATGATGTGATTTCATAATGTAGTTGTTTTTCTAAACCACGTTAGCTAATCAATAAAAGGTTACATTACCTGCAGACTGCCTTGTGGGTTTTGTTAATCCAGTAGGATTACGTACGTTTCGGCAAATATATTGCCATCATCAGATCCAGAACTTGAAGGTTAAAATCTTGATTTTTCGACACACATGGTCACGTCAAAGTTTAAAATGGAACACATACACAAAACGAACATTAAATACATGTAGGCCTACATCCTGTTCGGTTTTTTAATAGTAGGCCTACATGTATTTAATGTTCGTTTTGTGTATGTGTTCCATTTTAAACTTTGACGTGACCATGTGTGTCGAAAAATCAAGATTTTAACCTTCAAGTTCTGGATCTGATGATGGCAATATATTTGCCGAAACGTACGTAATCCTACTGGATTAACAAAACCCACAAGGCAGTCTGCAGGTAATGTAACCTTTTATTGAAATGATGTGATCCCAACTTCTTGCATAGCTGTGTTGTATGTTCCCGCCAATTTAAGTTCTGGTCACATGCAACACCTAATAACTTTACTGAACTCTGGCATTTCACATCATTACCACTTATTCTTAGTTTCAACTCTCCTTCCCTACTCTGCAAGTTTCTAAAATGAACCAAAATCGTCTTACTATAGTATTTAAATGAAGGCCGTTTATAACAAACCAATGCTCTAGATCTGATCTTGTATCGTAGCCTCTGCATTTTCCTTTATATCTAATAAATGCTTTCCTTTTATGAGTGCTGTAGTGTCATCTGCAATCATGATTATTTTGGCATTTACATTCTCTTGGAGGTTGTTTGTGTATATAGTAAATAAAACATGGCCTAAAATTGAGCCTTGTGACACTCCTGTTCCGTATCATACTCAGATTCTTAGTTAGTGTTTTCTATTATTGATGTTTTTTTGCCTTCTTCCTGTTAGGTATGATTCAAACCACTTCAAACTCAACCCTCTGATTCCATATTGAGTTCATTTCTTTAAAAGGACTGCATGGTCTACACTGTTGAAAGCCTTTGATAGATCACAGCAAACTGCAAGAGTTGACTGTGATCCATCCATGGCCTTATATATATCATCTGTTAGTGATATTAGTGCTGAGTTTGTTGTGTGTGACTTTCTAAAACCATGCTGACTGTTTGTAATTAATCTGTTTGATTCTAAATATTCTTGTAGTTGTGCGTTTACCACTTTTTCAATTATTTTAGAAAACACAGGTAGGAGTGAGACCGGATAGTTTTATTTAAATTAAATTTCCATTTCCTTTCTTAAAAATTGGCCTTATGATTGATATTTTGAGGTTTATTGGAAACTCACCAGTTTTTAATGATTGAATGATTTATTATTTTTGTAAATGGTGCAGCTATGTACTCTTTGCCCTTAATTAATCTAACTAGAATTAGGACTGCAAAGAGTTAGGTTATTTAGTTAGTTGGTTGGTTATTTAGTTAATCGCAAATTGTTACAGTTCTTATTAACTCCTTTACAATTTTAATAGGTATTGGCGACACTTCTCTAATTAATACTGATGTGTCCATTCCAAATGTACTGGCTTATAACTATATTTGTTAATTTACATATGTTCTGTTCAGTTGTTATTGTTTATATGATGATTGTGATTAAATAAAAAAAACTTGAGTTACTGCATTAAAATGTTACATTACTAAAATATCTATCAATGGCGACGAGAATAATGGAAGATTTAGAAAAAATAGCAGAAGATGTAAATAAAGTTAGGAAATTGAAATCATTGCGAAGAACAGTCAAGTTTCAGCTTGGAAATGTAAAGAAGTATGTGGACAAAGGATCATTTTCAATCAATGAAATCCAAACTAAACTTGATTTGTTAGCTGAGATTAAATCAAAGTATGATCTAATTCAAGACAAGATCGACTTCTATACAGAAGAAGAAGATTTAGAAAACGAGCTAACTTACAGGGAAAGTATTGAAAACATGCTGATTGATACAAAAGCAAGATTAATGGATGCCCAATTACTTCATATGCCAAGTATTCAACATAGCTCTATTCCCAATCAAAATAGTTGCACCACTGAAAATCTACAAGCTAATACACCGATTCCAGTTCTTCCTACTTCAAATTTGAGCTTTACTCCTTACGATGAAAGGGAAAAATTTTCTAATTTTGCCAGAAGACTGGAGGTTTTTATGACTTTAAAAGGTATAAATGATCCTAAGTTAAAAACTTTTACACTTTTACATGCCTTGACACCTCTTCTACATCAGAAACTATACGACCTATGTACACCAGACAATCCTATAAATAAAGAGTATGGGGAGCTTGTGACCTTGCTTGACAACTTTCTAGATCCTAAAAAAAGTATTTTGGCTTTACAACACACATTTATTAGTCGAATATACAGGAAGAAGGAGAATCTATTTCAAACTTTGCTACAGAACTAAAAAGGTTAATTGTAAATTCAATTGCGAAGCTTGTGGAAAATCTGTATTAGACATGCTATTACGACTACAACTCATACGTGGACTTAATGACAAAGACATTAAAACTCAGCTTTTACAGAAATGTGACCACAAACAATTTGTAGAAATTCTTAACACAGCTACTACGATGGAACTTTCAAAATTTGAAAGTACTTTGATATGTCAAAAGAGTGGAAACGTAGACATAAATCAAGTAAAGTTTAAAGCTAGAAATAATATTACATCCAATGAACAAATTCACAGACCTAGAACAAAATCATACAACACAGGATCTTATACAAGTACTGGTAATAAATTTCGTGTAACAGATTTTGAGTCACTGAAAGGAAAATGCTACCGATGTGGGAATATATACCATAGAGCGAATGTTTGTCCAATGATTGATGAAACTTGTAACACCTGTGGTAAGATCGGACACCCCTAGTGGAAGAATCACTAAGCAATCATTAAAAAAAAATTTAGTGATACGTAGTGAGATTTGGGACGAGTAAAAATCACTAGAAATCAATCACTAAAATCAATAGCGCAACTTAGTGATACCATTAGAAATTTTTAATGATATCACTAAACATTTTAATGGTGTGTACTGATATCACTAGGCAATTTTAATGATATCACTAAACATTTTAATGGTGTGTACTGATATCACTAGACAATTTTAATGATATCACTAAATATTGTAATGGTGTTTACTGATATCACTAGGCAATTTTAATGATATCACTAAACATTTTAATGGTGTGTACTGATATCACTAGACAATTTTAATGATATCACTAAACCTTTAAATGATGTGAACTGGTATAACTTGTTATTTGTGATGATATTTAGTGATATAACTAAATACTTTTAATGATACTTAGTTATAACACTTTGTTTTTTGTTATAAAGCTAAACAAGTTTACTGACCTTTGGTGATGACACTTCATGTTTCTAATGAAATCACTAGAAACCCCTATTGAAATTTAGTTAGCTATATAAATTCTAAAAGGTGGAAAACAAAATAGACATAAAAACAAATAATAGTTTATTATTTTTTAAATTTACATTGAGCTAACTATAAAATTTTAACTTCAGTTCACTTAAACATAACAATAAGACAATGACTAACTTTCAATAAATTAACACACATTTCAAGACATTAGTGGATTTTGAAACTTGCAACATATACGGCACTTCAGCTGCTTCAGATCCCTTAAAAAGGAAATGCAAATTATAGTTTATTATTTTTAAATTGTGCATTGAGCAAATAAATCCTTAGACAATCATTGCTTCTTTAAAAAAAAAAAAACAGATATTCCTAAAGTTCTAAGATAATATTATAGAGAATACCAACATTGGAATCACAAATAATATTTTATACTTACATAGATACCCTAGTTAAACTAAACAGAATATTCATAGTTTACTATTTTAAAATTGTACACTATTCAATTTTTACAATTTAAACTTTAGGACTCTTTTATACTACAGTAGTACATTTAAACAAAACAGCACAAAATGGTTTCAAATGGTAAAAATACTAACTTTTAACCCAAACTGGATTTGAGAGCTTGAAATATAATTTTTAAATCATGTCAGTAATTAAGAGACGTAAAAAGAGCAAGACCTCATACCTAAACCTAAACTTGTAATTTCAAATGAGTGGTTAATTAACAAAACTGAAATTAATTTAAAAAAAAGAGCAATGAAAAACAAAAATGCAATATTTTTACATCTTACAACAAGCCATGAATTAAATATTAACTCATCAACAACAATGCAAAAGAAATGTTATAACCTAAGAGGAACATGTTACGAGGGTTGTGTTTTAAGTTAGGGATTTTTTTTGTGTATAGCTTCATAGTTCATCACAACAAGGCACCTTGCCGCTTAAGCCTGGTTTACATTGGTCGAGTAAAAGAGCGATTAGACAGGCGAGTCAGTACTCTACCGTCAACTTGACCAGTGAAGACAATTTCACGAGTCGATTGACAAGCGAGACGAGTGCCAGACCCAGCTGGAGGACAAGTCGAGTAGTTTCGGCCAGGAGACAGCCACTCGACCAATTTCAAGCACTTGCCCTTCCCCCACCACTCTCAGTCTGCTGTCTCAAGTCGCATTTTAGCAATCTTATACATGTTTTTGTTATTTTAAAGTTGATTTAAAAAATATTTTAAAATTAAGTGGACAGAGGAGGAAACATTAAAGTTTGTTGAGTTGTATCGAGATGCAAATTTTTTGTTAAATCTCAAAAGCACTTCTTAGAAAAACAAAGAAATGCCACAAACAGCAATTGACAACCTTTTAAAAGATATGGGAAGTAAGGGTTTGGTGTAAGTACAAGAAGCGAAGCAAAGAATTAAAAACACAAGGTCATCATTGAATTAAGAACAACTAATGATAATTTTTAAATCTGCCAAATTCCCTATTCATTTTTTTCTTTCACCAATGCATCAACTTCCTTTACCAACAAATTGTACACCCTTTTCAAGCATTTTTGAGATGTAACACCTGTATTACGGAGCATTTACATATAATTTACACAATAACTGTACTTGTAATCATCAAAACTTAGGTCGTCAACTCAGCCGAATTAACTTTACTAATGTAAACCCACTTTTCTAAAACATGACAAGTAAGAATAGCCGAGCCATTTCGACCGAGCTTACTCGACCAATGTAAACCAATGTCGCCCCCTTCCTTCCCTCTGGATCCGCTATTGTGAAGCAAGAGGTTTGACAATGAAACTGCGGTTTCAAAACTGGCCGCCATCAGTTCTGCGTTTATAAATGAGCCTAGACGCAAGTTTTTTTTTTGGGGCGCAAGCAACAGAAAATATTTTCTGAATCTATAGAATCCTCCTCACTCTTGGTTCCCTCCCTCATGACTCATCACTGCCACTGCTTACATATGTCACTACTTGATCCGCCTTAAATCTTTATTTGTAATTAATTATCAATGTCATTTTTTCATTACTCACCAATGTCAGTTCTCTTTGCTCGAGTGAGAAACATATTATCAGTTGGTTAGTAAACTAAATTTACTGTCATGTTTTTGTTTATAATTTTATTTTTACATTCACACACTGTTTGTGTGAAATGAGCAAAAAACCAAATTTAGCAGTGAGTTTATAAAGAGAGTGGAAAAAAGCTTTTGGGCAGTGAAAATATGTTAAAAAAAAGCCTAAAATAAGTAGCCTATTTCATTTTTTATGAATTAAAAACTGTGCCTGCAGGAACTGTCGGATTAGGCCAACACTTTAACAGACTAAACCAAACCATTTAAAATCTTGTGTACAGAGAGTGATGTAACTCTAAAAATGAACTTTGACAATGTCATTAACGAGTGTGCCAAAAAAATGTAGAAAAAAACAGTCAAGTTAAGTGTTGAGTGTTTAGAATTATAAATGTTTTTAGGCTTGGCCTAGTTACATCTTAAATTTAAAAAAAAATATTACTTGAACTATTTTTTAACTTAATCGATTTGACTTGAAATGTACTATTGGAAATATAAATATGAATGAAGCCTAAGTAAATATGAATGAGGCCTAAGTAATTGATAAACCTATTGTATTTAATTCATGATTTATGTTTTATTTTACTTGAGGTAAATTTTATTAACAATCAAATGTAAACAAAATAAAACGATGAGAGTGCAAATCGTAAAATGCCTACTGAACAGTTAACTTACCAAAAACTTAATTGTTTAACCCAAACTAGAATTTCTTTGTAAATTTCTAAAAAAATGCTAGAGTTGTAGTATACCTACTTATATTTTGTCCGAAAAGTGTTATGCCTGACACGGGGGCTAAATCTAGTGTGCGAGAAAAATCGATAAAAATCAAATGTTTCATGTCAAAAGTGCTAAGGAACTATATATCAGGCCTCAATCGTATGAGGACTCAAAAGAAACCATCGCTGTTTCGAAACAACAACCGAGTCAACCGATATGCCCATTATTTATACTCACACGATCAAAAGTCACACCGGCACGATATATATCATCGCATAGCATATTCGGATGAAACACGAACAACGATATATCGTTCCATAGTACTCTTCGGGAAAAAGATGGACAATGATATATCCCGCATAGCACATAAAGAGTTAATCAGGCCCGTTTTTGACCTTCTAAGCACCCTAGGCACAACTAATAGTCTTAGCGCCCATTTGCAATAGGCTATATATTACAGGGTGTCCACCGACCAGGAAATCCAGGAATGATGTGTGACTTTTTTTGACCGATTATGCGTTAATTTTGTAGTTATAGCTGGAATTTTCAATTTTCCCTGATTTCACATGCAAATACAACCACCAATTTTTTTTATTTTTCAATTCTTGGCGCCCCCCAAAAAAGCCATTTACCTCGCACCCTAGGCAAGTGCCTACCGTGCCTATCCGGTTAATCGGCAATCGGCCCTGAGTTAAGTTATTAATGGATAGCCATATAACAAGTCACAAGCAAGGTAAGCTGCTTGTAAACTTAACCTAATTTACTCCAAATATGTTGCTTAGCCTAAAGCTTTTCAAGATCAAATATAGGTTTCTCCACAGAACAACAGTAAAATAAATTAGCATTTGTGATAACTTAGTTTGTATTTTACTTACGGTACTTGCTTTTTATCTAACTTCTCGCAAGGCCTATAGGCTAGTTCCCTCGTCAGCATCAACGGCAAACTTGGTGTTTGTGCACCTTGTTCTTGTTTTGTCTATCTTCTCCTCCATCTCTTCTTCTGTGTCTAGAAAAATAATCACCTTATTTGGGGTAGGCCTACATATTTTGATATTTAACAGCCATTAATGGCGGGAGATGCTGGTTCATACCCAAGGTTATTAAAAGAAAAAGAGGTTGCCTCAGTCGTGCGTATGACGTCAGCCGCCGACCCGGACGGTGCTGCTCTTAATTCACACAGCTGCCACCTGTCAAATTCTTTGTTATTGTTGTTTGTTTTTTATTTATTTATTTTCATAGAACTTACACAAAAACAAACAACAATAACAAAAGTATTTGACAGGTGGCAGCTGTGTGAATTAAGAGCAGCACCGTCCGGGTCGGCGGGTGACGTCATACGCACGACTGAGGCAACCTCTTTTTCTTTTAATAACCTTGGTTCATACCTACCTATAGACCAATCACCTTGCCTGCAGATGTTTTAAATGCCTAAGTACAATAAGTTCAATAGCAGGTAAGTTAACTAGAGAAAAATAAGTTACTCAGAAGCAATTTATGTCCCTGAGATAGGCTAGGTCTAGGCATGTCAAATTTTATGATTAAAAAGCCAGTCAAAACAAAACTTTATGACTTCCTTAGAAAAACTACATTTCAAATCAATTAAATCATTGTCTGCTTGGTAGACAAAATCATGTTATGTTATTCAGCTTATACAATAGCCGAATAACAGAAAAATCTATCTTAAAAGGCAAAAACTTAGGAAATACACATCCATTCTTAGCATTGATGGTTACAGGCTAACTTAGTTGTTCCTCTGGCCGGAGCTATCCTCAGGCTTAGCCTCTGTGAGTCAAATTGTATAACTCACCGTAACCTAGGCCTTAGTGATGTGATGAGTCGAGTTGACTCCAGTCAACTCATCCATAACTTAACTCGAGCTCAAGAGTTTATGCCTAACTTACTGCCAGCCAGAACAATGCGGAGCTAGTAGACCAAAGACACAAACTCGTACCGAGAAAGCCGAAACTGCACCAACTCGGAACGTAATGCGTTGACTCAACTCGTTAACTCCCAAAACTTAACTTTAACGCTATTGGCTCAAAGTGAGTCAAAAACGAACTTGTACAGAGAAAACCGAACCTGCCCGAACCTAAAACTAATGTAACGAGTTGACTCAACTCGTCGACTTCCAAAACTTAAACGCTTAAACAAACTTGTACGGAAAAAAACGAACCTACACGAACTTGGAATGTAACAAGTTTACTCACAAAACTTAAACACTATTGGCTCAAAGGGGAATGCAGTAAGGGTAAGTTAGAAACGAGCTTATGCTGAGAAAGCCGAACCTATATTAACTCGTAGCGTAGTTAATGATTTGACTCGCAAAACTTATGTAAACGATAAGTTATTGGCTAAATGCGATTCGAGCCGACTCGCCAAACTATATTACTAAACTTATAATAACTGATAATTGTTACGCTGCGAGTTGGTCCGAACTGGCTACACTTCAGTTTACGTCTTACATTTACTCACATATTGCAGTAAATGTAGAACGTTAACTAACTTAAAATGCAACCCCCGAACTCACCTGTGTTGGCTGAGGTTTCACAATGGCACCAAGTTGATTGCGTCTGACTCAATTCAAAACTCTAAGTAGTTGAAGACATAGTCATGAGTCCTTATAGAAAACATAACGAAAACACCTGTTTCAAGAAACGTCAACATTCAAACTGATAAATGAGCCAGATGATATGGATCCAGCAGCCGTCAGACATTTAAACTCCTAAAGTTGAATTTACTTCTTATATGAAGTTTAAACGTATTTTACCAGCAATATTTTTGATATTGGTGAGAAAAATTAAGAATCGCGGTATTTGGGTGAGTCACGGTACCTACCTAACTTATTTGACAAATTACCTTCGTCATGAGTCGATTTGACTCGAGTCAAGTAATACCTACGCGAGTCGTCACTTCGGACACTACTAGGCCTAGCCTAGAGGCCTACTTAAAAGCCTAGGCTAGGCCTATTTTACCTAGCAAAAGGTGTATGCTGATTAGGCCTTGTGTCATTTAGGCCCACTCCACTTCTAGCCTAGGCTAGTAACTTATAGGTCTACTAAAGTTAAAACAATTGGCTAACAAAATTAAATATGCTAACTTATTTGAGAATGAGTAGCCTACATCTAGCCTATTTGAGAGTAAGGCACCTGTTAAAGTGTGATCAAAACTAAAGCGATTCTTGCCTAACTTAAGGTCTGGATAATAATTAATCATAGGCCTAGCCTGAAGATATTTAACTTACCTGCAAGTACGGAAGGAGTCCCCCACAAAGAATATGAAGCGTTTCAGAGGAGAACAAGCGAAGCCCTGGCTGTAAAATGGAGAAAACCATACTCCCAAATTATCGGATGGTTGAGAATCCAAAGCCAGCTTTCCATCATTCGAGCAGTTTCGCTTAGGCTACGGGGAACTAGACGTAAAATTCAAAGCATTCGATTTGAAGATGGTGCCGCAATTCCCCCATTGTTTTATCGAGCTTACATTTTATTTTTTTATACATCCCAAGTAGCTAGTATTTTAAAATTAAAATCTTTTCTATGTAATTTTGTAAATATACTATTGCTTATTATGTATAGTAGGAATGGTGCAAACTATCGCTTTCGTTTCGTAGTCCAGTCCGTAATGGCGGAAGAGGAAGGGAACGCACTACGCAAGGGTAGGACAGACAACAGAACTAGAATCCAAACCGAACCCACAGAGAAATTAAATTATCTATGTCACAGAAATATAATTAATTATACATTTTTTATTGACTTTTATAGTCATTTTGCACTGCGTGTATATTTTGCATAGCGTGTTTGTTTTGCATAGCGTGTTTTTTTATGCACTAAATAAAAATATAGGCTACATGTTGAAATTATAGTTGCAATTACCCATCGATCTCTATTATTACTACACCACATTATTTTAACATGTATATAGTCTACTTTAATAGTATGATCTTAAGAGTTGTAAGACAAAATTTATGTTTTAATTAATAATTATTACTCTACGTATTTGACTTTTTTGACTATTTTGTTTAATGCCTGAATGTGTTATGTACTTTATTATCTCTCACTTGTGTTTTTGCAACATGTAATCCACTTTTTGACGTGTCCATATGCATAACATGCATAATTTTAACATGTTTAAATTAGATATAAACGTATTGTGTATTACCAAATTTGTGTTGTTTTTAGAGCGTAAAAAAACATGCTGAGCAAAATATACATGCAGTGCAAAATGACTATAAAAAGTCAATAAATAGTGTATAATTAATTATATTTCCGTGACTTAGATAATTTAATTCCTCTATGGGTTTGGTTTGTACTTGTTCTGTTGTCTTTCCGGTTCCTGCGTTCCCCACCTCTTTCTTCATTACGGATGACGAAAGCACTATAGTTTGTGCAAATCGTAAATTGATATTTTTAGGGAACTATACTAATATGGACTTGCAGTTGAAGAATAATCACTTTTCAAAGTATACAGTATCTATCTATCTATCTATATATTAATAGGCAAGCATGTTTCTTTAAAACCTTTTTTCTCAGCTCGTGTGTATCGTACGGAAAATCTACGCATACCGTTAGAAAGCTATTTTCCTGTAGGTGTGCAGAATCCCTTTATAAACTAAAATAGGCACAAAAATAAGCACAAAAAATGAATTTGAAATTTTAAAAAATTAACATGGGTTTTATGGGTTGCTATGGTGATGACGAAATAACAACAAAATATAAACAGAAAATCAAAACAAATGGAAGACATTCCAATCACATGTTTTATTTAACAGTGTGGGGTGAAAATAGAGAAGTTTGCACAAAACATACTTTTGGTCGATTTTTCGACCACGGGGCGTGCTCTCGTTAAAATATAACCACTTCCCAGTACACCTACCAAAATACGTTTTAATAGGCTACTATTGTTCCTCTATGCACTGTAACAGTCCTCTTTGCAACTCAGCTGTGATCCATTCAATCATCATTCATTAGTAATGTTTACATTAGTTTCATTTGTCGTCTGTGGCTCTTATTGTGTTGTTTATTGAGTAGGCCTATTTGTCAGGTTTTTGTTTTGTAGTAAAAGTTAGTATGTTGATATGAAATTGTAGATTGCCAAATCGTTGATAGGTCAAATAAAATGATAGTCCTGATTAAGTCTGTAGACTCAGAGCTTTTCCATTTAGACCTTGATACTTTTGACAACTGAAAGTTCAGATACTTCAGATGTAGGTTCATTTGACACTGACGAAGAATTAATAAATGACAATCATGTCAATGAAAGTAATTTCAGTGGGTTTAGGCCTACTGAACAATCTTATCAACGTGATAATTCCAACTCCACCTTGCCTAACAGCAGTAGGACCATATTTTGAGGTTATGCTAATGGTTTTAATATTTTGTATGTGGCATAATTTAATGTCAGTTGCTAAAACAGATCTGATGAAACTATTGAATCGAATAATAGGGTTTGCTGTTTTGCCTGTTTAAGTTTTTTTTAATTTAATTTAATTTTGAAAGTGCTCCATGAGAGGACTGAAAAGGTTGATAGAAGTGGGTCGTCCGGATCCAACTTGGCTGCACTTTACTTGACGTCCTACACTCATTCGATTGTTTTTTCAATTCGATATTTTCATTCGATTGTTTCATTCGATATATCGTTTGGTTAGTTAGGTTAGGTTAACCTTACCTAACTAACCAAACGATATATCGAATGAAGCAATCGATTAATTGATATATCAATCGATATTTTCATTCGAATGAGTGTAGGACGTCAAGTAAAGTGCAGCCTCCAACTTTCCATACAGATAGCTTGTGGGGCTCGTAAACTGTCTCGTTGGTGCTTGGGACAGCGTGCACATCAATGCCTGTTTGCCTGTCACCTAGAACGAGAACATGGTTAGGGTGGATCTACTTGTCACTTGGAAATCCAAGTGAGCGTTCACAGCTGGCTCATTACCCAAACACCGATAGTGAGAGACGTATGGATTTTGCTGTGACAGGTATCAAGTGAAAGAGGCAACAACGACACCGTCAAGTGATCTAACCAAAGCAATGTTCTGCCTTTCTTCGCTGTCGATGTAAAAGACGGGACCGATTTACAAAAAGAACGTCCCCAGCCTTGGTGTCGAACTTTTGTTTATCTGGTGGTACATTCTCCCTTCGATCAAGATATACTTACCACTGGAGTGTCTATACCCAACAGATATTTCTAAGGCACAAAACGCAAACAGGTCGTTGTAAGCACGAGCCCTGTCGAGAAAACAACGATCGGAATAGAAGGTTTCATCAAGAGGACTTAGATCAAGGACGGTGTATGCCCCTTGTCCGCAAAACCACTTCTTCCAACACTTTTCCTCCTCAAAAAGCCTAGCCCCACAGTAGGTACACTTGAAGATTTCACTGTCCCAAAGACTAATTTTTTTAGACTAAAAGCTGGAATATCGTTCAACAACTCTCCCTCGCAAGACCCCATAGGACGGTGTTGAGAAATATGCCGAGCAAGTGTAGCTGGCAAGTGACGAAGGTGAGACAGCAAAGGATTATGTAACTGGAAAATCTGCACCCTTTGTCGAGAGGCGTCAGGATTTCCTTGGCTATATCGAGCAACAGCTCCCCTGTTGACCTCAGGGTGTGTTTGGCTGTAACGCTTAAAAGCCGCCCGTTGACCTCAGGGTACGTTTGGCTGTAACGCCCAACAGCTGTCCTCTTGACCTCAGGGTGCGTTTGGCAAAACGCCCAACAGCCGCCTTGTTGACCTCAGGGTGTGTTTGGTTATAACGCCCAACAGCCGCTCTATTTACCTCAGGGTGGTCTTTGGAGTATTGTTTTTTGTTATACCTGATTTGATTTGAGTGTGCGTCCCCCTATAATTCCTTTTAGCCGCCTGCACTTGCTCTTCCCGTGTAGTTTCCAAAACTTTTGGGCGTCCACGTTTGGCTGCGTTAGGTCTTCCAGGACATTTTTTGGGGGTTGAAACTGTCTGGGAGGGTTAGATAGGTTGTGGACATCCGCACGTTCGAGCGGCCGGACAGTGAAGACAATTGAAGTTTTACAATTAAACACTTAAATTGTTGGCTAAGCGCACACAGTTGATTTTTATGTTTAGGCGCACACGTGGTGATTTTTATGTTTAGGCGCACACGTGGCGATTTTTAGTCAAGAAATGAATTTTTTTGAGTGCATTGTTAAGGTATCCTAAAATGGACTTTGTTGAATTAACCTATGTTTGTGCTCTTCTATTTAGATCAAAGAAAAAAGAAGTTTTTGTAAATATTGGGTTCATCGGATAGCAAGTTAGAGACTTTAAAATGGGCTGTTTTATAAACTGCACACTGTTTACGTGATGACATTAAAAAATTTGTTATTGCTATAGAATTTCTGTTGAAAGTTTTGATAAACTGTTACTATAAGTTGGACAACGGATTTTTGGACAATTTCTTTCTAAAAAATACCTGTTAATAATATATGCACAGCTTTGATACAGCTTTGATTGAATAGGGGTAAACTTGGAAACAAAACTTACAAAAATTTGACTAAGCATGTTTTAATGGTTGTAAAGATCTTATAGTTATTGAAATACTGTACAATGAAAGATCGGCGACTGGCCGATTTTTTAGTCGGCCGTGTGCGCGGACAGGTAACAACCTGTACGTTACAGATTCCCAGCCGACAATTCACTCGCCTACAAATCTGCAGCAAAATGCATATTTTAAAATCGGCGTAGTATCTCACTTGGGTTCATTAATCACTTTTCGTTCATCTTGAATCACAATCTTTCAATATTGCATTATAATGTCAGCATGTCAACCCTTTAAAAATGGTTATACCGCAAATAAATGAATAAAACTACTAAACAGGTTAGGATTCCAAAAATATTATAATTCAATAAAGTTTTATTTAAAGTTCACCTCATATAACTTAAATAACATTCCCAATTTTTCTACTTTCTTTGACAAAGCATCAAAAGGGGTTTTTAAGCTCAGATCAATGTACCTTGTAACACTAATATACATTCAAATTTAAATATAAGGAAATAAATTATTGTATTACATCATATTGAGTTTGCTTGGCTGTACCCAACAGTCAGTTTTGAATCTTTCACATTTAACTAACAATTGTAGTGATTTTAAGTTTATATCACTAAATTTTCTAATGACTTCTAGTGACTGGCTTGATGATTATAGTGATGTCAGTAGAAACCTAATGATTAACAATTTAATCCTAGTTATTTCTAATGACTATACTGATGTTTAGTGATATCATTAAAAACAAATCTAGTTACATCACTAGGTTTGTTTGGTTAGATGATGTTATTAAATGATGTCTAATGATATCATTAAAAATCAATAGGATTTTTAGTGATATCACTTAATTTTTTAATGATTGCTTAGTGATACTTCCACTAGGGACATTTCAAGAGTATGCCTTAGTAAACATAAAAACAGTAAAGGGCAAGTTCATTACACTGAAAATAATAACATTTCTGAAGACAATATCAATGAAATTAATTTACTGTCTGACAAAAAGAGAGATGACAAATTTCACATTGACATAAAATTGGAAGGTAAAAACGTTACTTTTGAGTTGGATACTGGAGCATCACTTACGTCGATTTCTTATGAAGACTACAAAAGACTAATTCCTT